GCTTCCTGTACGGTTGTAGGTCTGCGTCATTCCACTTTCCATTTCGTATAGCTTCAGCAATGCTTTCGATTGACATAGACTTTGGGACTGCGTTCCCGGCTACAAAGTTTATGTACTGATCAGCTTCGGAAACTGGCTTTCCAGCAGGATGGCGACTGATAAAATCAGCTGGGTTTTGTTCATCTCGGCCTGGCCGATACTTGAGCGTGTAGTCGTATGACATAAGTCTGAGACGCCAACGTTCCATTCGAGCAGATGCTTGCTTGTAACTGCCGAAGATCTGAGTAACAGTTTGTGATTGGTGTAGATGACAAACTTAGCTCCGTAGAAGTAGAAGTGATAATGTTCAACTGCCCATACAACTGCTAGCATCTCACGTTGTGTCTGCGAGTATTTCGATTCTATGTCGGTTAGCGCTCTACTGTCATAACTCACGACTCTGTTGTCTTGCGATAGGATTGCTCTGAGACCCTTAGGACTGGCGTCAACGGCGAACTCGGTGTCCTTTCTTGGATGGAAATAAGTAACTACTGATGCTCCTTTCAGAGCTTCTTTCAACCTAGTGAAAGCAGTCTATTGTTCTTCACCCCATGTCCTTTCGACGTCATTGTGTGTTAGCTTTCTCAGGGACTGGTGAGTGATGCCTATCTTTCGATGAAACGTGACAAGTACTGGGACATCCCCAGTAGCGATCTAAGTTCACTGGCATTACTGGTTGGTTCAGTGGCTACTGGGGATGACCCAGTACTTGTCACGTTTCATGATGCGTAATGGCTTGCGATGAGCCAGCAAGTATGATGTGGTGTGCGATGTCATGATCGGCCTCTGCGAAACCACACGTTTTTGTAAGTGCCCGGCGCCTAGTAACGTAGGCATCAACGTTTTCGTTTGGATTTTGACTGCATTGGCGAAAGTTATACACTTCAAAAGCTGTTTTGGTTCTTGGCGTAAAATAGTTCGTAAGGGCTTTACTGACCTGTTTAAAGATGTCGACATCAGCGGTTGACACAGTCAGTGTCTCGTATATTTCGTCCACTTCAGGCCCCATAGTGTAGGAGAAGCGCCTGCATGCGAGTGGCATCTGTGATATCCAGCACCGTTATTACTCTGTTGAATGTTGCAAGCCATTTGGTCCATCTAGGGCCGATATTGCCATCAGAATTGACGTCAAACTTGGCGAATTCTGGTAAAGTCATCCTCGTTGCCAGTGTTCTGTTTATAACTAGTGAAGGATAGAAGATTATATCTAACAAAACAGGATTTTATTGATAGTCTGTTGAGACGTTTCTTTTGCCATGGGCACAGCCATCTTTCTTATAGTTTCCAGATCTTACCACCCCAGTGGTCAGCACCACTCAACAACTAATGTAATGGGCGTTAGTTCCAACACGACATCATGGTACCATTTTTTCTTGCATTTCTCAGTAGCTGATTCTTCTTGATGACATAACTGTGATTTCGGTTTAAGCAAGTCCGCTTTAACAGGCAACAGTGTACTGTACTCGGTCTCAGAATTTGTTTGTTTTATTTTTATGCTCATCAGAGCTAAGTGAAATGATTTGAAAAAAATGATTAGTACATGTAGTTTATTGACCGTGTTTTTTTATTATTATTTAGGTGCAAAGATACAGTCTCTCAGTCTCCAGATTACGTTAGCCTTTATCTGCTGGAACCACGGCCATGCGAATATATTCTTGGGGTGAGTGGTATTATGTAGTCAGACGGCCGAACGAAAGATGAACGGACAGACAGACATATACCGACTAACAGACATGCATATATGGATGGCGTGACAGATGAATGACAGATACATACAGAAAGATATGCAGGGCCATAGCCTAAGGGTAGGGGGGGGGGGTCAAGGGGGGCAGCTACCCCCTAGATTTTGGAGCAAAATAAAAAAATAAGCTTGACTAATAATCGTAAATAACCCTAACGTGATGTTTTTGGTCACATCCGTGAAAGCCTTGTCTCAGACCCACCCCTACCACACTATGGATGTCGATCAAGAGCTGCGCCCGTCGCTCATCATTACACAGTTGAGTCATGAAATCCCCCTCAGGAATTAGCTCAGCCTACAGCCCTGACATGGGAATGGATAGGTGGGTAGCTGTTTAATAGATGGATGAATGGATGGGAGAAATGGGCAATAGATAAAATTATATAAGAAATAAATGGATAATGGATCAGTGCTATGGTACGGTATGAGATTCAGAGCAGGCGCAGTTTGGGCATACAGTCATCTCACACAGCATGGTTCACTAAAAAGCAGCCGCGTGATAAACTTATAATGGTATACGAAAATACTTGCCTTCTACATAAAGTAGCCATCGTATATGTCATTTCTGACAAGTGACTATAGTTTGTGTATTGATTTTAACAAATATTCAGTCTTATCTCAAAGAATTCTATATTCTATATTCAGTATATCTCAAAGAATTCTAAAAACTTATGCTTTTACTTGTGGTCCCATCCTGCATTCGTTACTAACTATGTACACACATTTGCTCTGATTTTTAGGTGGAATCACCTATCATTTGCCCTCTCTTGGAAAAAGCAGACAACTATGGTATTTTTCCCATCGATTCAGAGGAGTAAGCATGTCTCGTTGAGTGGGCTGTGCATAGCATTTGCCAAATGATCGATTATTGGGTTGAAGCTCCGAAGAATGACACAGTGAGTCTATTATGCAATTGATTTACATTTATACACGAACATTCATGTATGTATATAGACATGATTGAATAAATTTCCACTGAGGACTTGCCATTGCCTAAAATAGCATGTAGGTCGTTGAGTTTTAAAAATGATGATACAGCATGAATCGAGCATATATTGCAGAGTATTGTCACAGCAACCAATTGCATTGAACAGCGAAATTGGTTTATGTTTCAAGTCCACATCACAAACTCAGTACATTAATTCGGTAAACACTTGTTTCCATCCCTTAAACCGCCCTCGGTCGTTTCCGGTGTGCAGGTTAAACTCCGTTTAATTGACTGTATTATATTTTAAAATTAAGTTTTTAGTTCTTAGATGCCTTATTCATCTTTGGTTTGGTTTGCCTGCATTGCACTTTTGTATTAAATACATATGACTGGGCCGTTTCCATCACCCAAACCGCCCTTGCCCGTAAAAGACGTATTCCAAGCTCTCTTTTCACCGTTTCGAATCAAATAGATAACGTAAGTGTAATGGTGGCCATTCCAAACGCAAGGTGACATTTTAAAATATAATAAGTAAATTAAACGGAGTTTAACCATAGTTTACCCTGCACACCCGAAACGACCGAGGGCTGTTTGAGAGATGGTAACAAGTGTTTACCGGTACCCATTCAGGTGTTGAACAACAGTAGAGGGCGTCCATAGGCGGCAAACCTGAATAAGCATCGAACAGAAATTAATTAAAAATACTCACACTGTTACTGCGCTTACACAACATACACTTTATTCGTGTTAAATAACTACAGATTCATGCTCTATGCTCCGCTCGAAACTTTTGCCAGCTCTATGATGCGAATTTCTACAGAGTAGTCAGATCCCGTTTCATACACAAAAATGGCCGACCGGCGACCATGGCTACGCCACTAGCTGGAATGGCACAATAACAAGACCAATTTTATTTCTAATGCTTTCTAGACGTCCACAAGGCATCTAACTTGAGTGCATAATGCAAATTATTGCACTCTAGTGCCGAATTTCTGCGAAAAAAATGCTAAAAAAGGCATTTTCTATAGACGATATAGTGCAACGGTGAACAATTGCGGAGGCTTACTGTTGCTTGCCTCCTTAATTCAGGGAGCCATCTTTTAATCACCCCCACGCCATCTACATTACATACAGTACACTAAAGTACAATACAATCATGTTGTTACATCTTATTCTTTTCTCCCTTAAGAAATGATACTCCACTAAAAATTATTTCTAACAACAAACTGAATGACTATAAAAGTGAAAACTGACTTTGACTTATTTATCAGCTGTCTTAGTAGTTAAACTAAAGATATGTAGAGTCAACAGGTGACTTAGGTAATACATATGATACATGCTTATATGAGTAGCAAGTTGACAAATTCTCACACAAGTGTCAAACTCAAATTAAAGTTAGAGAACTATATAAAAGAATATGGATAAAGTCTGAAAGTTCACAGAGTGGCTGAACACCAGCCAGATGAGTCAAGAGTCACACAAACTATTTCACAACATAGTCCTTGAGATAAGACCGTCTCACGGTAGGTTCAGGGTCAGGTTGTCCAGTACCCTTATTAATCTCACTGCAACGTCTCATCAGGTGGTGATCTTGGATCCGTCTCCTGAAGTGACTTATCATCAGTTGCTCTCAAGTCAACTCTATTCCATCGATATTGTGCACCATCGTCACATAGTACCTCATACGAGTGCTCATCAAGCTGATCAGTCACAGTTGCCTTCCGCCATTTATCTCTTCCTAAGGCTATTGGTCTGATGCGTACATTTTGACCATCATATAGTGGGTCGAGGTCCTTGGCCATTTTCTCATGTGTTCTGTTTATAACTAGTGAAGGATAGAAGATTATATCTAACAAACATGATTTTATTGATATTCTGTTGACACGTTTCTTTTGCCATGGGCGCAGCCATCTTTCTTATAGTTTTCCAGATGTCACCACCCCAGTAGTCAGAGCCACTCAACTAATGTCATGGGCGTTAGTTCCAACACTACATGCCTTTCCTCTTTGGATGAATGACAGTCTAAACTTTTCAGACTTTTGACTGTAAATTTGGATATGTCCGGTGATGATCTCAGAGTTCGAATTAGGTAGAAGTTACACAGTCTGTAACACGAAGTAAAAGTTCAACTAGCGCGAAGGAAACGAGTTAAAATAACACAAAATAAACAAGTTAAATAACGCGAAATAAACGAGTGTGATTAACTTGCATGGAACAATGCGGAGAGTGAACAGTCTAAATTACTCGTATGCGAAATGAAACAGTCTAGGTTGCTAATAGGCGAAGATTTAAAGAATGTAGATTATGCGGTAAACTTAGGTACTTAGAATGCGTATGAGAGTAAGCATAGTAGCTATGGGAGAGGTTACTAGCACAACACCCTAGTCTACAGTTATGGTGCAAACACACTATGCGTATATGTATACATCCTTGAAGCGGACCGGAAGTGTACGTCTTTCATTGAACGACGTACTTGCGGTTGTCGAAGACAAGGTCTCAAGGACAAGGTCCATCCACGTGTCCTGGTGGAGCGCAAATTGGCGGATCTTCAATCATGTCGTCATCGTCGATGATCTCGGCGAATCAGCTGCGGTTTGGGCAACGGCTTGAAAAACGTGTTCCGTGTGATGCGCTTATTCTCGTTATACGCGGTCGGAAGTTTAGGATTAGGATTAGGATCGAAGTGCGGAGACAACTTATTAGTACGTTGCTGTTTGACTAAGACGGTGTCTCCTGGCTGGATCTCATTTCCCTTTGCGTTCCGTCTGTTGTCTGCGTATTCCTTCATCCTTTCTGGTGAGCGTCTTTCTCCTTGATCGTCTGTCGAATATCTGGCATGTTAGGCAACACTCTGGCTGGTAGCTGTGGTAGTTGTACACAAAAACGTCTACCATACAGCGCTTCGGCTGGCGGAACTCCGGTAGTGGCATGTGGCGTCGCGCGGTATTGTCCTAGAAAATGGAAAAGTTCCTGTTTCCTCCTAGATGATTCTTCCTGGTTCCTTCCTTCAAGATGCGCGATGCATACAATTTTAAGCAGAGTGTTCATGAATCTTTCGACACACCATTGGCTGAGGCCACAATGGGGTGACTTTCCGATGTTTGAATCTGAGGTCAGCTGCGAAGCTTGCGAAATATTGACCTTGGAACGGAGGTCCATTGTCCGACTTGACAACTTCAGGTATTCCCTGGCATGAGAAAATACCATCGAGCTTTAGTATGCCAATCTTTGCAGCATTGTACGAGACTATTTCGACTTCTGGGAAGCGACTATAGTCATCAGTTACAACAAGTAGCATCTCGCTTGATGGTAGTGGTCCATTGAAGTCAACAGACACTTCAGCCCAAGGTTCGGCTGGGAGCGGTGACATGACGAGAGGTTCTGGCGTGTTCGGCTTCTGAGTTACAGCTTGACATGTAATGCAACGAGCAATCATGTCTTCCACCATTCGATCAATCCCTGGAAACCAAACTTTCTCTCGAAGTAGGGCTTTCGTACGTACGATTCTTTAGTGTCCTATATGAGCGAGTTTTACTGCCTTGTCGCACAAAGATTTGGGCACTACGATTCTGGTTCCACGGAGTATGATATCATCGCTACTTGCGAATTCGTTCCGTAGCTTCCTGTACGGTTGTAGGTCTGCGTCATTCCACTTTCCATTTCGTATAGCTTCAGCAATGCTTTCGATTGACATAGACTTTGGGACTGCGTTCTCGGCTACAAAGTTGATGTACTCATCAGCTTCAGAAACTGGCTTTCCAGCAGGATGGCGACTGATAAAATCAGCTGGGTTTTGTTCATCTCTGCCTGGCCGATACTTGAGCATGTAGTCGTATGGCATAAGTCTGAGACGCCAACGTTCCATTCGAGCAGATGCTTGCATGTAACTGCCGAAGATCTGCTGAGAGCTGAGAGCTGAGAGCTTCTTTCAACCTAGTGAGAGCAGTCTATTGTTCTTCACCCCATGTCCTTTCGACGTCATTGTGTGTTAGCTTTCTCAGGGACTGGTGAGTGATGCGTATCTTTCGATGAAACGTGACAAGTACTGGGTAATCCCCAGTAGCGATCTAAGTTCACTGGCATTACTGGCTGGTTCAGTGGCTACTGGGGATGACCCAGTACTTGTCACCTTTCATGATGCGTGATGGCTTGCGATGAGCCAGCAAGTATGATCTGGTTTGCGATGTCATGATCGACTTCAGCGAAACCACACGTTTTTGTAAGTGCCCGGAGCCTAGTAACGTAGGCATCAACGTTTTCGTTTGGATTTTGACTGCATTGGCGAAAGTTATACACTTCAAAAGCTGTGTTGGTTCTGGGCGTAAAATAGCCCGTAAGGGCTTTACTGGCCTGTTTAAAGATGTCGACATCGGCTGTAGAGGTTGGCACAGTCAGTGTCTCGTATATTTCGTCCACTTCAGGCCCCCATAGTGTAGGAGAAGCGCCTGCATGCGAGTGGCATCTGTGATATCCAGCACCGCTATGACTATGACAGGCCGATATTGCCATCAGAATTGACGTCAAAATTGGCGAATTTCTCAGTAGCTGATTCTTCTTGATCACATCACTGTGTGATTTCGGTTTAAGCAAGTCCGCTTTAACAGGCAACAGTGTACAAGTCATTCTCCCGAACATTCTTTGAACTTGACTGGTTCTGGCATCTTTTGTTGGAATATTTCTATATTCTAGAATTGCAAGCTGTGGATCTTTCCCAGCTTCTAGTGCCCATTTGATGATCATGGAAACTTACAGCTGCTTTGGCCATGCCATTACCGTGAGGATGGCCTGGACTGCTAATTCCGCTCCTGCTGGAATGTTCAATGTCCCATGCCTGAGTAAATTCGCCAAATTCCGCACTAATAAACTGAGGGTCGTTCTCACTAATCAACACTGAGGGGATCCCATTGCGAGCAGAATGGGATTTCAACTTCTTTATGACTGCAGTGGAGGTAGTACTGGTAAGACTATCCACCTCTCAGAAGTTACTGTAGTAGTCCACTGTCACTAGGTATTGTTGATTATTCAATTCCATTAGGTCAACTCCGACTTTCTCCCATGGGCGATCTGTCACCTCAT